GTGAAGACAAAATTTTGAAATGGATATTGGTAAATATTTTCTTGGTTATGTATATTTTTTGCCAAATTGAAACAGGTATGTACCTTACGCACCAACCACTAAGACCAAAGATGAATTGAAGATTCTTACCAACTTTTGCAGTCTAAAACTGATCAAACATGCAATCAAGATGCATTGACAATTACTAGTAGCTGGAATGCAAAAGTTGGAAACAAAGAGGGATCAGTAGTCAGAAAATATGGCCTTGGTGATAGAAACAGAGATTACATGATAGAATTTTGCAAGACAAATGATTTCTTCATTGCAAATATCTTTTGCCAACTACATAAACAGCAACTATACACATGGACCTCACTGGATAGAAGACACAGGAATCAGATCAACTACATCTGTGGAACGAGATGATGGAGAAGCCAGGGGCCAATTGTCGAACAGACTATTATTTTTTGATATGCAAGTTCAAGTTAAAGCTGAAATAAATTAAAACAAGTCCACAAGAGCCAAAGTATGAACTTGAGTAAACCTACCTGTATTTAGACGCCATCTCAAGAATAGATTTAATGTCCTAAAAACTAATTACCAAAGACCAGAGGAGTTGTAGAATGACATTAAAGGCATCATACATGAAATAAGTAAAAAGTCATTAAAAATACAGGGAAGGAGGAAAGGACCAAAATGGATGTCAGAAGAGCATTTGAAACTTGTTCTTGAACGTAGAGGAGCTAAAGCAAATGGAAGAAATGATGAAATAAAAGAGGTAAACAGAAAATTTCAAAGGGCAACTCAAGAAGACAAAGTACTATAACGAAATGTGCAAAGACCTGTAGCTAGAAAACCAAAAGGAAAGAACATGCTTGGCATTTAAGCTGAAGGAACGGAAGAAAAAATCAATCCTCGAGTTGCAACATTGAAAGATTCTATGGGGAAAGTACTAAATGACACAAGAAGCATCAAAAGAGAATGGAAGGAATACACAGTCACTGTACCAAAAACAATTGGTCAAAGTTCAACCATTTCAGGAGGTAGCATATGATCAAGAACCTATGGTATTGAAGGAAGAAATTCAAACTGAACTGAAGGTACTGGCGAAAAACATGCCTCCAGGAATTGACGGAATATTAAGATGTTTCATCAAACAGATGCAGCACTGTAAGTGCTCACTTGACCAAGTCCAAAAATTTGGAAAACAGCTACCTGGCCAACCGAGTGGAAAAGATTCATATTTGTGCCCATTCCAAAGTAAGGTGATCCAATAGATTACAGAAATTATCAAACAATATCATTAATATCACAAGCAAAATTTAGTTGAAGATAAATTAAAACATGATTGCAGCAGTACATCAACAGGGAACTGCCAGAAATTCAAGCTGGATTCAGAACAGGATGCAGAACAAGGGATATCATTACTGGTATCAGATGGATTTGGGCTGAAAACAGAGAATACCAGAAATATGTTTACCTGTTTTATTGGCTGTGCAAAAGCATTCAACTGTGTGGATCATAAGAAATGATGGATAACATTGTGAAGAATGTGAATTCCAGAATGCTTAATTGTGCTCATGAGGAACCTGTACACAGACCAAGAGTCAAGCAGAGCAAGGGGATACTGCATGGTTTAAATTCAGGAAAGGTGTCGTCAGGGTTGTGTCCTTTTACTGTACCTATTCAATCTGTACGCACAGGAAATAATCGCAGAACCTGGACTATATTAAGAGGAACATGGCATCAGAATTGGAGGCAGACTCACTAACAACCTGCATTATGCAGATGACACAATCTTGCTTGCTGAAAGTGAAGTTGAAGCACTTTTTAAGATCAAAGACCACAGCCTTCAGTATGGATTACACCTCAACATAAAAAACAAAAATCCCCACATCTGGACCAATAAGCTACATTATCATAAACGGACAAAATACTGAACTTGTCAAAGATTTGATTTCATTTCACTTGGATCCATGATCAATGCCCATGGAAGCAGGAGTTAGGAAATCAAAAGACACATTGCATTGGGAAAATCTGCTCCAAAAGACCTCTTTAAAGTGTTGAAAAGCAAAGACGTCACCTTGAAGACTAAGGTGTGCCTGATCCAAGCCACAGTATTTTCAGTTGCCTCATATGCATGCAAAAGTTGGACAATGAATAAGAAGACCAAAGAACTGATGCCTTTGAATTATGGTGTTGGCGAAGAATATTGAATATACAGTGCGCTGCCAGAAGAACAAGTTTGTCTTGGAAGAAGTATACTCTTTTGTAGGGGGGATGACAAGACTTTGTCTCATGTGCTTTGGACATGCTATCAGGGGGGACCAATCCCTGGAGAAGGACATCACGCTTGGTAAGGCAGAGGGTCAGCGAAAAAGAGGAAGACCCTCAATGAGATGGACTGACACAATGGCTGAAATATTGGGTTCAAACATAGCAATAACTGTAAGGATGGTGCGGGACCAAGTAGTGTTTTGTTGTGTTGAATATAGGTTCACTATGACTCATAACCAACTCTACAGCACCTAACAACGAACTTGAAAAATGAAAATAGAACTTTTACCTCATATGTTGTTTTTTGTTAGGGCCAGGGAATACGTTCTGACTCATCGCAAACCCATGAATATCCACACTGAGGACAGTTAAGGGAGATTCACGTCCTTTCACTTAATGCAAAGAAAAAAGAAAAAAGAAATTTGGACACTATAATTTAGCTATTCAGAAAAGCAGCTGCAGTATAGGAATACCCCTATTGTTGGTGCACACTGAAATGAGATCGGTAGGTCAGTCTTAATTGTTGATGGTAAAGCTCTCTAATACCTTCTAGTAACAAAGTTCCATTATGTAGTGTGCAGAAAAGAGTTACCATGGACATAGGACCCTCTTATGCTTACAATGACCTTCTGGCAAAGGTGGCCATTGGTTACTGTGTGAGAACCTGGATTTCAGGATGATTTCAACCACCATGCATGTTAAAGTGGTTTACTACGCCTGAAGTATTTATGCACACAATATAGTGAATCCAGCTTTCCTAGAGAGAGTCTGGAATTTTGGTACATGCTAGGCAGTAGGTACTTATATGATCATCGGCTGATAAGAATCCTGGTAACTGTGCATCAAATAAGCAGCACTGTTGGACAAGATTCAAAATGTATTATCATAAATCACTGCTGGAGGAATGAAGTACGTCCTGGAAGACTGTACTGTGAAGAATCTTAAAGAGATATGACTATCGAATTGCCACTGAAATGTAGTATGGTGTTGTTGTTAGGTGCCATCGAGTCAGTGCCAACTAATGGCAACCCTATGTACAAAATGAAACACTGTCTTGTCCTGCGCCATCCTCAGAATTATTGCTGTGTTTGAGCTCATTGTTCCAGATACTGTGTCAAACCATCGCGTTGAGGGTCTTCCTCTTTTTCGCTGACCCTCTACTTTACTAAGCATGATGTCCTTCTCCAGAGACTGGTCCTTCCTGATAACGTGCCCCAAGTATGTGAGACGAAGTCTCACCTTTTTTGTAAGGAGCATTCTGCCTGTACTTCTTCCATGATAGATTTGTTCATTCTGGAAGTCCATGGTTGTTGTTGTTAGGTGCTGTCAAGTCGGTTCGACTCATAGTGACCCTATGTACCCCAGAATGAAACACTACCCGCTCCTACACCACATTCACAATCATTGTTATGCTTGAGCCCATCACTGAAGCCATTGTGTCAATCCAACTCGTTTAGGGTCTTCCTCTTTTTTCCTGACCCTCTACTTTACCAAGCATGATGTCCTTTTCCAGGGACTGATCCCTCCTGACAGCACATCCAAAGTATGTAAGGCGTAGTCTCGCCATCCTTGTGTCTAAGGAGCATTCTGGTTGTACTTCTTCCAAGACAGATCTGTTCTTTTGGCAGTCCATGGTATATTCAATATTCTTTGCCAACACCATAAAAGTTGTCTTCCTTACTCATTATCCAGCTTTCTGTTACATATGACACGATTGAAAACACTATGGATTGGGTCAGACGCACCTTAGTGTTCAAAGTGACATTTTGCTTTTTATCATTTTAAAGGGGTGTTTTGTAGCAGATTTCCCCAATGCAATATGTTGATTTCTTGACTGCTGATCCAATGGGTGTTGACTGTGGGTCCAAGTAAAATGAAATCCTTGACAACTTCAATCTTTTCTCCATTTATCATAATGTTGCTTATTGGTCTACTTATGAGGATTTTTCTTTTATGTTGAAGTGCAATCCATACTGAAGGCTGTGGGTCTTTGATATTCATCAGTAAGTGCTTCAAGTCCTCTTCAGTTTCAGCAAGCAAGGTTGTGTCATCTGCATATTGTGTTGTTACTGAGCCTTTCTGCAATCCTGATGTCACATCTTTTTCATATAGTCCACCATACTCAAATTATTTGCTCAGCATACAGATTGAACAAGTACAGTAAAAGGATACAGCCCTGACACACACCTATCTACCACACAAGGACAATAAAAAAACTCAACAATTTCCACGTTATTATTCTAATAATCATTACTCAGAAAACACTTAAAAATTACATAAAATTTAATCCTATGTTCATATTAAAAATATACCGTAAAACATTCAGAGGTCCACTGACTTCAGATTAGAAAGACAAAACTTTTACTTACTAAATATTAAGAAAAACAGTCAAAACCTGAGGAGCCTTGGTGGCGGATTGCTTAAAATGCTTGGCTGCTAACCAAAAGGTCAGTGGTTCAAACCTACCAGCTGCTCTGCAGCAGAAAGATGTGGTAGTGTGCTTTTGTAAGGATTTACAGCCTTACAGACCCTATGGGACACTTCTACTCTGTCCTATAGGGTCGTTATGAGTTGGAATTGACGAGACAGCTACGGGTTTGTGTATTAGTTATCTAGTGCTGTTATAACAGAAATACCAAAAGTGGATGGTTTTAACAGAAATTTATTGTCTCAAAGTTTAGGAGAAGTCTGAATTTAGTGCACCCGCTCCAGGGGACGCTTTCTCTCTCTGTGGATTCTGGGGGAAGGTTCTTTACATCAATCTTAACCCTGGTCTAGGAGCTTCTCAGTGCATGGACCCCCAGGTCCAAAGGACGTGCTCTGCTCCTAGATCTTCTTGGTGGCAACCAGGTCCCTGTCTTCTCTGCTCATTCTTTTATATCTCAGGAAATTGACTCAAGATACAACCTAATCCTGTAAACTGTATCCTATCTTATTAACGTAACTGACTCTAATCCTCCCTCATTAACATCATAGAGGATACAATTTACAACACATAGAACAGTTACATCAGATCACAAAATGCAGGCAAATACACAATACTGGGAATCATGGCCTAACCATGGCGACACACACTTTCGGAGGACACAATATTCAATCCCTGTTTGGTCAAAACTTACGTACCATAGTTAAATGAGTCCTTACAGAATTATCTCTCACTTAACGTTTATTTCTGAAAAGTATAAGTAGAAACACACAACCAACCAGATCACTTTAAGGATCAGGTACTAATGAAGGTAATAACACATTTATAATTTTTATAAGATTAACATCCTGGCATGAATTTTATAGAGTATGATACATAAATTACTTCTTAGGAGGCTTTCTCACCTTACATTTATAATATTCCTCTCTTGTATGTGTTCTTACATGGTATTTTAAAGCAGAAGAAGAATTAAAAGCTTTCCCACATTTCTTACATTCATATGGTTTCTTTCCAGTGTGTAGTCTCATATGTGCTGGTAAAGATGAGGGACTTTTGAAGGCTTTCCCACATTCTTTACACTCATAAGGCTTCTCTCCAGTATGAATTCTCACGTCTTCGAAGGTAGAAGAGTTGAATGAAGGCTTTCCCACACTGCCTACATTCATGGAGTTTTTCTTGGCTGTGAGTCCTTTCATGGCTTCTAAGGGATTGGAGATAAGAGAATGCTTTCCCACATTCCTTGCATTCGTAGGCTATCTTGCCAGAGTGCTTTCTCATATGTTCTCGTAAGGATATATGCCACCTGAAGGCTTTCCCACAATCTTCACATTCATAGGGTTTGGCTCCAGAATGTGTTGTCAAATGGTTCCGTAAGGAACAGCGCCAATGGAATGTTTTCCCACATTGATTACATTCATGAACTTTCTCTACAGTGTGCACTCTCGTATGTCTTTGTAAGTACATGGGTGAAATGAAAGCTTTCCCACATAGTTTACATTCATAGGATTTCTCTCCACAGTGTGATTCCTTATGTGTATGTAATGATATGGGCCAAATGAAAGCTTTCCCACATCGCTTACATTTGTAAGATTCATCTTCAGTGTGTGTTCTCATATGTGTCTGTAAAGATATGGGCCATTTGAAAGCTTTCCCACATTGCTTACATTCATAGGGTTTCTCTCGACTATGCGTTCTCATATGTCTTGTTAAAGATGAAGGCCACTTAAAGACTTTCCCACACTCCTTGCATTCATTGAATTTCTCTTTACTGTGCGTCCTTTCGTGTCTTTGAAAGGATTTGAGAAAACTGAAAGTACTTCCACATTGTTTACATTCATAAAGTTTCTCTTTACTATGAACCTTTTCATGCCTTTGATAGGACCGGACATGAAAGAAGGTTTTCCAGCATAATTCACATGCATAAGGTCTTTCTCCACTGTGAATTCCCACGTGCCTTCTTAGTTCTGATGGAAAACTAAAACCCTTCCCACATTGCGAACATTGATATGGTTTCTGTCCAGTGTGACTTGTGATGTGTCTCTTAAATGACGAACGAGAAGTAAAGACTTTTCCACACTCAGTGCATTCACATGGATTAACTCTAGTAGTCGTTTTCTTGTATAGATTAAGATTTGGAATCTGGGTGACGGTTTCTCCCCACAGATTAACTTCATTATTTTCACAGAGTTTCTCGACCATATAATCTCTGTTAAAACACAAGAGCATGTTATTAATGATTTATTAATATTTGTTAATAATTATTAGGATTCCATTTTAACTATTTGTGCAATAAATACAAATTAGACCTTCCCCTTTTCTACCTTATGTGAATTGTTGGAACGTGGAATAAACTGAATGTTCATAAAGAGAACTAGAGAACAGCCATTATTAAAAGCATTTCTTACATATAGTTTTTTGATCATTGTTTCCAACGGAATTATGTTTCAAACACTCAATGCCTAAGTCACATTTAATGAAAACTTTGCTGTCAAAATTTCTTGTGAATAAACAAAGATAGAGCTAGGTATATCTGGGTTTTTTGCTCATTCATATTTTTTTTTTAATTCATGAAAAATTAAGTTTCTTTCCTGGGATATTTTGTTCTCTTGTGTGTGTTACTCACCTCAGAGGTATACCCTGGTTTTTATGCTGATCTTCAACCTTAAGGCCTTCCCCAATTTTTCCTAAAATAGAGGCCCAAGAATCATTTCTCCGAAACTTCAGTATTTTATCTTCCTTGGATATTTTATTTTCATGAATATTCTGCTGAGAAACTGACTCATTGGCCTTAAATGGAGTCTCATCATCTGAAAGCAAAAAGTGAACAAATCTTACAAGGAAGAAGGCTCCTGTTAGCAAAACAAAAAAAAAGTTGAGGAGTTAGATACTTAAAGACTTTGTGAGTAACAGGCATAAGGGGTCAAAACGGAAAGCCACGTCATAGATGCAGTAAAATCCTCACAAAGTTTTCAAAAACAAACTTCTCTGGGCCCCAACATGACCTGTGAAACCTATATCTGCACTGATGACAGTAAGGGAGATTCAAGTCTTAAGGGAGATTGAAGTCTTTTAACCAAGACAAAGACAAACTCAGTTTAATACCTAGATTCTCACTGTCATGAAGAAAAAATTAGATTCTAACTCCATGACAGCGGTGACCATGTCCGAATTACTGACCAATGTATTCCTCTTTCCATATTCCAAATTTTGGAAAAATCCTGATGAGCAAAAATGTTCATTCTCTAAACTAAGTGAAGAGGTAACATCATCCTTACCTACTGATGTCAAGTTCCTGAAGGTTTCCAGCATCACATCTCTGTAGAGCTTCCTCTGAGCAAGATCCAGCAAAGCCCACTCCTCCAGAGTGAAATCCACAGTAACATCCTCAAAGACGACTGATTCCTAAAACATACACCTTATGTATGCAGGAGGATAGGTGAAGCAGACGGCACTGGGGATTGGACTCAATCCATAGGAAGTTGAAAGAAGATTCTGGGATCTCCCAACAACTACCTGATGACTCAGTCATAAGATTCCTTAGCCTGTGTTTACATGCACTAACTCACAGACTAAATAGCACTGCTAACACATGGCACTTAACTCTACATTTTCACTGTGACCACTAAAAGTCTTATTTCTATCATAAGGCTTCAGGGTATAACGGAGAAATAAGAGAAATACTATAGAAATGAAACAGCTCTTTCCATTATAAGACGATCAACGCCTTATGAAAAAACTATTTCATCTGTCTCCCTACTGCTCACCACATCACTCAGCACTACATGAATCACAGGATCAAACCTAGATGAGATTTTAAGAAATAAAAACACTTCCAACGACTGGCAGTTTTTCCTTCTATTTCTTTCACCAAATACGTGAGGTCAAGATCTGTTGCCATTGAGTCGATTCCAACTCATAGGGACCCTATAGAAGAGTAGAACTGTCCCTTAGAATTTCCAAGGAGCACCTGGTGGATTCAAACTGCTGACCTTCTGGTTAGCAGCCGTAGCTTTTAACCACTGTGCCAGCAGGCCTATGGAAACCCAAGTTGCAACAAGGGCTAGCTAGACACAATATCTTTAAAATGCCAGGCCATTAGAACTGGACAGGTCCCACCAGCTAAATGAAGCTATCTTTTTGTGGTATTAATTTTAACTATTTGTGTTTAATAGTTATCAGAAGCTCAGTATCTACCTTTCCTCTTTGTGCCACTTCATGGAAATACGATGTTATTGAGAAGTTAGAGCCCATAAGAGGAAGAAACATTAGAATTTAGACACCCGCACATTCCCTACACTCCTGAGCCTCGGTGCTGCTGCCCACCAATCTTGAGTTCGCACTCATATACACACACACACACAGAGTAAGGTTACAAGATACCTCAAGCTCTTTCCATCAGAGCCATAAAAAAGCACTCTGTTACTTTAAGGCAGAGGTTATCATTTCAATTTTGGTGAGAAGTTAACAGAAGTCCAAAAACATTGGAGTGTGAATTTTCCCAGCATTAGAACATACATCAAGGGTTAGGAGTGTTTTTTTCTAAAAGAACATGTTCTCTGCCTCAATTTCCAAGAAGAACTGATTCCACAGAGCCACTCTAGAAGCTGCACTCCCAACTTCACTCATTTTCACACTCATTGAACACACAAGCCTGACAATACAATCCCTGAACCTAGGAAACTTTGTGCAGCATGGTCCTCCTAAATTCTGGTCTCTGAAAAAGATGATCAGCCCACTCACATCCATGAGCAACGAAAAGAGAAAATACTACCATGCAGAAATTCTGATAGTAGAATTTACCTACTCAGAAAAGTAGCAGCACTGTAAGAATACTCGTATGTCATGGCTTGAATTGTGTCACCCCAAAATATCTGTCAACTTGGCTAGGCCATGATTCCCAGTACTGTGACTCGTCCATCACCCTGTCATCTGATCTGATTTTTATGTGTGTTGTAAACCCTATCTCTATGATGTGATGAGATGGGATTAGCGTCAGTTATGTTAATGAGGCAGGACTCAATCTACAATATTAGTTTGTGTCTTCAGCCCATCTCTTTTGAGATATAAAAGACAAAAGTGAGCAGAGAGACATGGGGACCTCATACTACCAAGAAAGCAGCACAAGGAGCAGAGTGCATCTTTTGGACCCAAGTTTCCTAAGTAGAGAAGCTCCTAGACCAGGGGAAGATTGATGACAAGGACGTTGCTCTGGAGCCAACAGAGAAAGACTTCCCCTGGAATTGATGCCCTGAATTTGGACTTATAGCTTCCTAGACTGTGAGAGAATAAATTTCTGTGAAAGCCATCCACTTGTGGTATTTCTGTTATAGCAGCACTAGATAACAAAGACATCCTATTATTGGTGTACAGTGAAACGAGCTCCCCAGGTCAACCTTAACTGCTGATAGTAAACCTATCTTATACATTCGAGTAACAAAGTTCCATTATGTAGTATACAAAAAAAGAGTTAACATAGGCATGGGGCTTATGCTTAGAAATGCCTGTTCGCAAAGTTGTCCCTTGGTTATCGTGTGAGAACTTGGATTTCAGGATGGTTCTAACAACCATTAATGTTAAGAGTGGTTCACTGTACCTAAACTGTTTTTGCACATAATATGGTTTATGCTGAATCCCTGCTTTCCTACAGTGAGTCTGTAATTTTGGTACATGCTAGGCAGAATGTGCATACAGGATTATCTGACAAAAAAAATCCTGGGAACTTTGTCTCTAATAAGCTGCTCTATTGCACATTTCACAATTGTTATCTTAAATCTCACAACTATTACCATAAATCACTCCTTGAGGAAAGAAGTACAACCTGGGTGATTCTACTGTGAAAGGACTCTCTTAAAGACTTATGCCTGTTGAATTGCATACCTAAATATGGTTACAATTTAAAAAATGTTTTATACACATATATATATCTACAATAATGTTTTTAATAAAATTATAAAGTGAAAAGCAAAGAAAAACGTACACTGTCTTTACTACCTGTATATGTGTCTGTCTATTCTTATCTTTTTACGGCACAGAAGTGACTAGTTTCAGCATGCACAATACATTAACTTGACCTCAAGTGACTGATTACATTCCCTTAGACTGCATTATGGTAGGTGATTAAATTACAGTATGAAAGGTATGCTCTACCCAAAGCCAACTGATTTAATCACATGTGACTACAGCATGACAATTAGACTACTCTTTAGCCCAACACCCAGGAACCATGGCCTAGCCAAGCTGACATATAAAATTAGCTGTGACACCCAATGTTAAGGGACACAAGACCTTCCTGACTTTTACCTCCAGGAGCCACACAAGGTTCTCACTGTAAAGCTGGAAGAAAAAAATCATTCGAGCTTCCACAGTGGGTAAGGGAAAAAGCAACTATGATTGTTGAGGTTGTGTGTCAATTTGGCTGGGCCATCATTCTCAGTGGTTTGGCAATTACAATATAGCTTAAAAATCATATAATGATGTAATCACCTCCAGTATAAGATCTGATATAATGTGATCACCTCCCTGAAGGACAGTGGTGAAGGGAAATCCCTACAATGGGCAGAACTTCAAGCAGTGCACCTGGTTGTTCACTTTGCTTGGAAGGAGAAAGGACCAGATGTGCCACTATATAATGATTCATGGGCTGTGGCCGATGGTTTGGCTGGATGGTCAGGGACTTCGAAGGAACGTGATTGGAAAACTGGAGACAAAGAGCTATGGGGAGGAGGTATGTGGATAGACCTCTCTGAATGGGCCAAAGAAGTGAAGATATTTGTGTCTCACATGAATGCTCACCAAAGGGTGACCTTGGCAGAAGAAAGGATTTTAACAATCACGTGGATAAGATGACGCATTCTGTGAAAATCAGTCATCCACTTTCCCCAGCCAGTCCCGTCATTGCTTAATGGGCTCACAAAAAAAGTGGCTATGGTGGCAGGGATGGAGGTTATGCATGGACTCAGCAACATGGACTCCCACTCACCAAGGCCGACTTGGCTACAGCCACTGCTGAGTGTGCAATTTGACAGCAGCAGAGACCAACACTGAGTCCTCAATATGGCAGCATTCCTTGATCAGCCAGCAAGCTGGTTGCAGGATGATTACGCTGGACTGCTTTCATCACGGAAAGGGCATCATTTTTGCTCTTACTGGAACACTTACTCTGAATAGGGATTTGCCTTCCCTTCACGCAATGTTTCTTTCAAAACTACCATCCATAGACTCACAGAATGCCTTATCCACTGTCATGGTATTCCACACAGCATTGCTTCAAATTAAGGGACTCACTTCACAGCAAATGAAGTGCTGCAATGGGCCCATACTCATGGAATTCACTGGTCTGAACATGTTCCCCATCATCCTAAAGCAGCTGGCTTGAAAGAATGATGGAATGGCCTTCTAAAACACAACTATGGCACCAGCTAGGCGGCAATACATTGCAGGACTGGAGCAATGTTCTGTAAGAGGCTGTATATGGTCTAAACCAGTGTCCAATATATGCTGCTGTTTCTCCCATAGCCAGGATTTATGGGTCAAGGAATCAAGGATTGGAGATCAGAGTGGCAACACTCACTATTACCCCTAATGACCCACTTGCAAAATTTTTGCTTCCTGTTCCCATGACCCTACGCTCTGCGGGTCTAGAGGTCTTAGTTCCAAATGAAGGAATTATCCCACCTGAAGATAAATCACTCAAAACGACAAGCACCTGAAAACACCCATTAATAATCTGAACGTGGAATGTATGAAATTTGAATCTAGGAATATTGGAAGTCGTCAAAAATGAAATGGAATGCATAAAGATCGGTATGCTAGGCATTAGTGAGTTGAAATGGACTAGTATTGGCCATTATGAATCAGACAATCATATGGTCTACTATCCTGAGGATGACAAACTGAAGAGGAATGGTGTTACATTATTGTCAAAGAGAACATCTCAACATCAATCCTAATGTACGCTGTCAGTGATAATATTCCATACAAGGAAGACCAGTTAATATGACTATTATCCAAATTTATGCACCAAACACTAATGCCAAGGATGAAGATATTGAAGATTTTTACCACCTTCTGCAGTCTGAAATTGATCAAACATGCAATCAAGATGTGTTGATAATTACTGATGATTCGAATGTGAAGGCAGGAAACAAAGAAGGATTGGTGGTTGGAAAATATGGCCTCGGTGACAGAAATGACGCTGGAGATTGCATGACAGAATTTTGCAAGACCAACAATTTCTTCACTGCAAATACCTTTCTTCAACAACATAATGGATGACTATACACATGGACCTCACTAGAAGGAACACACAAGAATCAAATCAACTACCTCTGTGGAAAGAGACAATGGAGAAGCTCAATATCAGTCAGAACAAGGCGAGGGGAAGAATGCGGAACAGACCATCAATTGCTCGTATGCAAGTTCAAGTTGAAGCTGAAGAAAATTAGAACAAGTCCATGAGAGCCAAAGTAGACCCTCAGTATATCTCACCTGAATTCAAGAAGAGATCTGACACACTGAACACTAATGACCGAAGACCAGAAAAA